GCCAAGGCAGTGGGCATGACAGATGGTAGCAACCAAGCTAGCTTGGAACTGCTGGATGGTTTCAAGGTGATCATTGCTATGACAAGCTCCTGCTCTCCGCGAGTCAATTTGATGCTGCGTTCCAGCACTCGCATGAGGACAGAGGGTTTACTTTTTCAACCTGACTGGACTGAACCACGTGAAACTGTCCAACCACGTGAAACTTTCCAAGTTTACAGAGTTGTACTGTGTTACGGTTACATTAATTTCCTTTTTTACCGGATGCAGGATACCCGGCTACCGTTTACCCAAATCTCAAATTAGGAATTTCCCAATATGCCACCACCTGCACAATACAAATAATGACTGACAAATGACTCTTTAGGTGTCAGATTAAGTGTTGCTTCTTTCCATTAAATCGACGGTTTGAAACAAACGGACGAGAATAAGAATAAGAATCAAATACTAGAATCATTCTTCAGGTTAACCTTTCGTGACCAGTTTGTGTGACAGGGACCTGTGGGGTACAGTCCTGGAGAAGTGCAAGGGCGCTGTGCTCCTGGAAACTGCTGTGAAGGACGCTGACGGGGCGATCAACACTTTGACGCGGTTGTCCGAGCTTTTGACAAAGTATGCAGAGCCTGAGACGAATGAAGCCTCAGACTCAGACGCCATTTTTGTCGAGATTCAGGGGCTGATCAAGGGTGCTTCCAATGCTTCTGGGTTGGTGGCTGCATTGAAGGCATCCGATGATAGTGCAGCTGCTCCTAAAGCGACAGCCGTGAGTGAAGCGATTGAGAAAGTTACAGCGGTGGTTACAGACAGGTACTATGGTTCTTGCGGCTTGGCAGCCTTTTTGGATTCTCTTTGGACGGCAGCGCTGGAATCACCGTTGTTGCTGAAAGAGATGGATGTGAAGTTTTGCAAGGGGCATGAATCTGGTGAGAAAACACTGGGGGTCAAGATGTATTTGCGCCAGTTGATCATTGAAGGCCTGGCTAGCCAAAACATTCTGATCGGCAACACGTTTGCTTTCTTTTTTATGAAACTTGCTGCAGTAACTTGCTCTAACTGACTCAACTTATAGATTGAATGAACTATGTAGTTTAGTCTAGTTGAACCCTAACTTGGTTTGGTGCAGTAACTTGATGATATAATTGGTTGACGTTGATTGACGTGACATTGTCACTGTCATTCCTTGTCAATGAAATGCATTGAAGGAGCTGTTGGGTCTACAGTTCTTGGAGCCAAGAAGTGCCCGCCTATGCTCGATGATTTGGCCATCGTGCTGTATGACTACCACGTCGCTTCAATCTCAGTTGGTGATGCTGACCCATCATCACTACTGCAGGAGTGCTGCAACCTCTTGGCCAAGTTTGACAAGCTTGCCTTGAAGGTCCACAAATTGCCAGAAGATCGACGGCAGGGGCATGAATGGCTTGCATCCTTTGAAGCAGCTCGGGGCCGTTGTGACAAGGCCATTTGTGAGGCAGGTGCTGGATGGATCAAGAATGTCTTGGAGAAGAAAGGGCCAGACGCTGCGTCATCCTACATCCTGACTTGCAGCAACCTCCCTATGTGTCTGAAGCCGTATGGCTCAGCTTTGGCGCAGGCATCTTTTCTGGAGAGCTTGGAAATCCCGAATTCCTCTACAGTGGTAGTTTCAGAGTTGTCCAAGCGCACCAGGGCCTATGTGACGCTCAAGACTTTGTCTCCAGATATTGTCAACTTGCTTTTCCCTCAGCACGTTACAAAAGTCCAGGACTACATGGAGAAAGTGGCGCAGAACATCACCAAAGTCATCGCCAAGCTGAAGGACAAATGCAAAGTTCAGTGGGAGTTGTTGGAGAAGTACAGGCAGGAATTCAGGACACTATAGACTACAGATGAGACTATAGACTATAGACTATAGATGACTATAGACTATAGACTATAGACTCTACACTCACTAGACCGTTTGTTTCATCGGATTGATTGGCTGGCCGATTGGCATTTTTCAACCTTGGCCAAGTCTAGTCAGTCTAGGCCAGTCTAGGGTCCAAATAAATACGTATTATTTTACTGATACTTACTGCACCCCATTCCCTTTCGAACCCTCCCTTCCATTTCACCACAACAACTCTGTTTGTGTGTTTTCTTTCAATTAGGATTGGCGTGTCAGCACGATACGTTGGTGTGTTATGGTGTGTTCCAGTGTGGACTCAGCAAACAACCTGCGGTTTCCTTTTGGTGTGGTCAGGCCATTGTTGTCCGCTTTGGATGTTGGGCAGCTCGATGAGGTTCAGTGGATGCTGACGGGTGAGAAAACGGCTGAAGATGAGTTATGCCGGCTAGTGGACCATCGGGACCAAACCGCAGAGTACGTGAACTACTTCCAAGCAGCTTTGGCCATGAGGACCGGTTCTTTGAAGAATGATGCGATTTTCCTGGAGATGGCACAGTTCTCAAAGGAACTTGAGGCGCATTTGGTGGAATCAAAACCGGTTGCGTGTCACGTGCCGTGTTCGGTGAGTGAGTGAGTCATGGCGGGGTATTCTTTGTTTGGTGCATGGCCTGATGTTGCGTGGCATATCAAATTCATTCCTCATGACATCTCATGACAACCGGACAGGAAGTGCGAGGCGATACCGCTATGATCGTGGGTTGCCAGGGTGTGACCCAGATGATGGAACAGTCCAAGGGTTTGCCTTGTGATGAGCAGTTGCAACAGGCGCGCAAAGCAGCATCAGCCATTGCCAAGAAGTTTGGCATGAGCCCCAAGGATCTTCCTCCAGCCCTACGTTCGCGGTTTGAGGATTGGGGCAAGAAGTCGAAGCAGAGACTTCTTCATTTTTGAGCACCCTTTAAGATTTCCGTCTCAATATCCCACTCCCACTATATAGAGTCATGAAGTCTATACTGGCTATACTATACTATATATATACATACAATTATTAGTTCATTACACTTTTTGCGAGATAAGCTACAAGTGTGACATAGGGAACCGCCCAGGAAAGCCGAAGACCAGGATGGCAAGGGCAAGGGGGGCAAGAGCAAAAGGGCAGCAAAGCCTGAGGCAGCACCAGCTGAGGCAGCAAAGCGCAGAAAGCGGGCAAGCAAAGAAACCTAGTGGCAGTGCCCATTTTGGCAGCATGCCATGCGTTTTGAGTTTTGATAACTGAAGTTATCTAAGTCTGCGTGCGTCTCCGCATGCGGACTCTGGAACTCTGGAGCTTTTGCGAGACAGAAAAGGTAGGCTCGCATGCTCAGACTCTAGTCTTCTCTTTTTTTGCATGTTCCTTTCTTTACATGGTAGCCATGTATTCAGATTCAAATTCCAAACATTTGGATCCAGTTTCCCTCGCACCTTGCACATATGATCTTGGCATGATCTTGGTGGTAGGGTTTTAAATAGATCCTGGTATGGTTTAAATAGATCCTGGTATTGTTTAAATAGATCCTGGTATGGTTTAAATAGATCCTATATGCGACAGAGAAAGAGGCCCACGCACCCCCCAAATCATATCAGTACAAGAGGAACACTTCGTTCAGATACTTGGTTAATGTCGTCAGGTGAAAATTTAATACCACGAAGCTATCACGCCCCTGAGTCAGAACCCACGCTGGCTGACAAGTGTGAACTCACCACCCACATAGCAATATGCCAGCCAAAAACCTTCGGCTCCAGTGCATTTCGGCTTCTCCCCACCACTAAAGGTATGGAAGCTAATGATCATTTTGCACTGCGGGGCAACAGATTTTTGGGAGACGATTTAACACATCCCCGGAGTTGTTCCCCTGAACAAGACCATGCCAAGAGACCGAGGCCACTGGACAAGGCCACGCCAACAGACCTCACCAGGATCTGCAGCTCTGTAGACCCGTCCTCCATCTTCTTCTTCTTCTTCTTCTTCTTTCCCCTTTCATCAGCAACCATTGATTTGGTAAGGGGTACCGGGTGGCGCCCTTTGGAAAACAAAAACAGGTTTGCCAAACCAACAAACTAGGTGTTGTTTTTCTGTCCTGCAGCCTGAGAAGCAAGGTGGGATATCTTCCTGGGGGACCAGGAAGGGGCTGGCGAGCCACCTGGCTGTGGGACAGGAATGTGAGAGGTCTGGCATTGATCTGGCAATGGCTGAAATATCAAGGCATAAAACGAAAGGTAGTGAATTGTAAGTTTTAAGAGCCTGAAAAGAAACGCATTACTGCCATGACTGGCCGTAGGAGTCTGATGTACGACAAACAAATTGGTATGTTTTTTTGTTCGTGCTTGGCAACCAAAGAACGGTTCCGAACGAGGTACATGTGAGGTTCTTCTAGACACAATCGTACACTTGTAGCCCAAACATGATCCGTTGGCAGTCACAAATAGAGGTCACCGAGGTTCCAGGCATGCGCTCTTCACACCCCTCTGTGTGCTCCACCAAAAGAGCCTCGTGGCCACAGAGTGCACGTGTTTAAGCCACCAACACATTGCAATCAAAGATGGAAGTGGACAACCCCCTGTTGTTTTTAAACAATAGACCACTTTAATTGAACCTTTAAGATGTTTTTGTTGAACATATCGCCATGCCACTTCCATGTATGATTTTCAGGGTGTTTCTTGGAGAATGCACTATGTTACCGGTGTCCGAAGCTGCGAAGCTGGGGACGGAAAAGACATTTGGATCGGACATATTGGACCAAGATGTCCCTCCCAACGTGGTTTGTAAAGGAAACACATCCGTGAACCCCATGCAAAGCGCTCAGGAAAACAGAGTGAAATGTTTGCGGGGGGTTCAAGCCTCACCCGTTCCGAATTTCCTCTTCAAGGATTCAACAGGTCTAAGAAAACGAAAAAATGAGGTCAATGAGGAAGGATGATGACCATCAATGTCCCCACATTGTCGTTTCTTTGCATGACTCTGCGGTTGCAGGTACTTCGGCCCATTTCGGCCTTTTTTGCAGGCATGGCCTCCATGGTCCATCAAAACTCCTGAAGTCATCAGGTCTCCAACATTGTCGCAACTGTTTCATTTTTGTAAGACGCCCTCTGAAACTCCATGGCGGGCCCTTCTCAGGAGACCTTAGCCATGGTCTCCTTGCAGCTGTCCATGGGTGTCGTTACTGGACCAGAGGTGTGGACATGGCATACCCTGCCAGAAAGGACAGTGTGATTCGAGCATGAGTTTCAATTTCGCACGCGCACCTGTTTCACACCATTCTGTACTGAACACTTTGAAACTTTGAGGTAGAGGAAAGGTGGCTTTTCTTCTTGAGGGTGTGACTGTTCTGGTCGAAAGGTTTTCTTCAAATTTTGCTGTGTTTTTTCCCCCTGTGCTCCGAAGGCAGACAATCAAGAAGAGTGGTACTTTGAACTGTGGACTGAGGCTCGGCGTGTCCTGCCACGGAAGCGTGGATCTGCCATGGAAGACTTGGTGACCTTTGCATCAAGCATGGATTGTTAGCCGAAAATGTATCAAGATTCCGAGGCCTCCTTTGTCACGAAGGGTTTCCTTCGTCGAGCAAGAGAGTTTTTTTGCTTATATAGGAGAATTCATGTTCCCTGTTTCTGTTGGAATCTATTTCCCAACAGTAAAGGGGTTGCAATCTTACAGTCCATCTACCAAGGCAGTGTTGCGGCCATGGTATTGAGAAGTTCCATGATATCAATTTGTGACTTTCCTTTTGAGGCTTCTACGCTCAAGGCCACCAATGATGGGATCATGGAGAGCTTTCAGCTGGTGGAAGACACTCAGTCGAGACCGGAGAGCGGTAGGGGTCGGGTGTTTGTTGCGCAAGTGTCGTGTGCAAGTCATATGAGTAACATCCAAAAGGGTTTGTACACAAGTCTTTGTGTGGGAGGTCTTGGGATGCATATGAATTAAAATGAATGTATATGATATAATAATACCAGGTGGTTCTCCGTTTCTTAGGGCCGTCTTAGGGTACTTGACCTTGCCAACGTCGGAGGCCAAATGGCGGTATGTGGAACTGACAAGAACAACGGAGCCATTCAAGCCGGAAGAGCTGACACCTGCATCGGAAGATTGCACTTGAAGAGAGGGACCTGCATTTGAGAGGAAACATGTAGAACACGCGCCTGCGGGATTGCTCAGGGATTGCTGATAGTGTTGGGCTATATCTGGATCGTCTTTTAAATAGAGGACCATGCCACGAGTTGGTTCGACACGCTTCTGGAATGTTGTCTCGCCCGGAAAGCTAGTCAGCTAATTGTGGCAACAGGCCAATTGTTTGTCCCGTTCCGCGATCGGGAAGTCCTTTCAACATGCATGAATCAGAAGTACAGTCGATCCGCTCAGCTCATGCATCATCCCAACCGTTTGCTCAAACGTTGAACCGACGAGCAGGCTTCCAGTGATGAATGAGAAAACAACAACTCCATCCACTGCAGGTCTTCCAGGTATTGACAGACTGTAAGGAGTTCGCGGGACGTTTCAAGTTGGATAAGTGATTTGTTGGGCGAAGTCCCTCATTCCCCCAAATAGTTTGTCAAAATAGAGATAGGAATAGAGATGCTATACAGGATATATGGATACAATACGTATACCCTGGGAGTCAAAGACTATACAAAGAATGGTGTTGAGGTGACCCAAAAAGGAAGTTCCTTTACTTCAGTCGGTCAAAAAATAGTCTTTGGACTTCTAGGGTATAGGATATAGGATTCCTCCGGAATCGACCCGGCCACCGGTCCCCCCGGTCCTCCGGTCGCCCCGGTCGCCGAGGCGCTCGGCGTGCGCCTCTCCGCGCCGCGGGCGGCCCCTGCGAGCCGCGCGGAGGTGGCGCTGGCAGTGGCCTGGAGCGGCCGCATGGCGAGGGAGAGATGGGTAAGGAGCAAAGGACGGTTATGATGAGAAAGGATATGAAGATATATAAGCATTAAGGATCGGGTATATATAGGTATATATATATATATGAGGCGGCCATGATATATCATGACGGTGTTTGGTGCTGGGTGTTTTGATTTTTGAACAAACATTACCCAAAGAGGTGACTTTTTGTGGGGGGTCCCCCCAAAAGACCATGGTTTTACCATCCAACAACCATCCTTTGGGTGATGCTGGCATGTGGTTTCAGTTGGAAGTGGAGGCGGTTTCTTGACATCAGAGCATCCATGATTGGATGTTCAAGCTACGGGCAGGACAGGGCTGAGGCATGAAGTGCAGGAAGTGCAGTTGGATTGAGCCAGAGTTCAGCCAGAGAGCTGTCATCGAGGTTGCTTGAGGATGGTCTCCACGTAATTGTCGACCTCTTCATTGCCTTGAGTCAGTCATATGGGTCTAAACCACCAACCCACACCACCTCGTGTTTCCCAGGCCCTAGGCCTGAGGCCTCGGTTTCATCGAAGTGTTCAAGACGAGAGGTCTGAGCTTTGGCTGTTTCAGGGCTGTGTACCAACGTGATGGACGATGTTTGTCAATGTGTGTTTCTGGGATGTGACACATGTCTTTGGTCAGAAAGAGCTGCAAAAGAGATTGAACAGAAGTAGTTTGGGGGCTTCAGGGTCTTCGCCTCATCGATCTGTGTTCGAGACCAGTGGGGAGGTTGAGTTGTAGTTGAATTGGTAGGTCAGCCAATCAGCCAATCAGCCACCACCCAAACTAAACAACGCAACTCACCACACAAAGCAAGGATCCCTCAAATACAAGCAGGCCAACCAACCGTCAAACCAGCACTTACTCACTCAAATCAACCATTCCGGAGTCTTCTTCACTCTTCGGAGGTCGTCGCCCGCGGCAGTTGCAGCTCTGGGCGCCTGTGGGTTTCATCTTTGTGGAGGTGTCCTGCCTGCGGGATACCATTACGGTGAGCTCACAGGTGCGCTGTCTGACAATTCGCGAGCGTTCGGACGGAGGCTCCATCGGCGGTCCAAATGGGTGGGTTTTACGGATCAAGAGTCTGGGATGATTTACAGATGCCTTGTTTTGGACACTCGACGAGCCCAACCCATGACCCATGGACACGAGCGCCGTCATTGCTAGTCCTGTCCACCTATTAAAAAACACGCCCCCCCTAATAAGAAAAACTCGGTCGCATTTGTTTTAAACAGGGGGGGTGCAAAATAGGGTCACCTGTGAAGAGCTTCAAAACCAAAAAGTCATCCAGGAAAATTCAAAAAACCTCCAGATCGAAGGGTTTTCCTTTTCCCCTACAAAAACCTCTATTAGAATATATTAGAATACTTATTCTTCATTAGACTAACAACCAAAGCTTTCGAAAGGTGATGTCGCTGTGCCATGCGGCTTTGCGCAACCTCGGTGGCAAGTGCATTTGCGTGAGTCCGTGCCGTTAGGGGAAGGAGAACCTGCTGGTGTAAACGCGGCGTGTCATGGTGGATACAAAGGGCGGACAGGGACAGTTACGGCTGTTTTTGGAACCTAGTTGAAAAAACTACACCAAAAATCGACCATGTTGGTAGTTTAGTAGCGGCTTGAAACGGCGGTAATTTAAAAACAAATATTAGCCGTACTTAGGGCTTCGGACATTGTGTTTTTAAATGGGGAGGCTTTGTAATAGGTACTCTGGATCATTATTGTGAACTCTCCTTTGCCGGATAGTTTGGCAGGACTCCAAACATTGGATATAGTCTTGCAGTCACTCATAGCCGTTATAGAACTATTTATTCAACCAGAAATGAGAAGTGATCCAAAAGAGAACCGTCTCCCTTGAATCCCGTGCGGAATTCCCAAAAATGTTCAATAGACCCGTGCGGGTCGGTTGGTTGCGGCACAGGCACAGGGCATAGCATGGCATTAGCATGGCCACAGCAGTGCTCACAGCAGCGCTGCCGAGCGTCACTGAGACATTGAAGACCTTGGCAGATCAGAAGAAATATGAAGAAACACATCATCCCAAAGAATCCTTGGGCCCTCCATGCCGCAGGTCGAGGGCCCGGATTTTTGAGGGTAGGTCAAGACGTGTCCACACGGTCTTTTGAAACAAGAAAAAACATATATATATATATATTACACATATACACGCAGCAGGAGTCACAAAGGGGTGCCTATTGGAGGTGAGGGGTGCCCATCCACTCACTATAAGGACCAAACGCCACCCCTTTGTGAGACCTGGCAGCCGCTCTCATGCACTCCTTACCCTGCCAGGTGCTCTCATGCACTCCTGGATCCCTTCCCTACGTGGCTGCACTGCAACTTCACAGTGCCATCGAAGGTCCGCTGCGACACTTCTTTCATGTTCTTCCGGCATGGCTCAAGAAGTAAAACCAATAATATTGGTCACTTAGACCATCTAAGACCCCAAAACCGTCAGCTAATGTGCCATTTGTTGCTTCTATTGCTAGCGGATTCATGCTGGGGGTTTTGTTTCACAAGGAACATTTGGTTGTTGAATTAGTGAGATTACACACAGATGTTAGTGAAGTTTACAGGTGAAACAGTGAAACCACTGCGTATCTTGATCGCTTCAAAGTCGCATTTCAGATGCTGCACTAGATTGCCAATCCTCGGTGAATGCGTCCGTAGTCCAAACCTACGCCAGTGCCCCCTGAGGGGTGTCGAATCATAGGTCCTTTAAGGTGATTCGGGGTGGGTTGAGAAACGTGTCTCTCTTTGGCCCAGCGAGATGACAACACGCAGCGGTGGGGCATGAGTCAGTGATCCTCCCCGAGCTCTAAGACATAGTTCCATCCATTAGGAATATTCCCAAGAGAAAAGGACAATAGACAATTCGCCAACTCCAACATCGACTCGGAACAATTTTATCCATGCAAGGCCCTAGACCTCACTTATCCGTACTTATCCCTGGTCGACCTGTGATTGGAATCTGCTCTCTCCGATTTCTACCCCAAACAATTGCCTCTCTTCTCAGCCCCTGACCAGGCTCAGCTGAGACGGTTCTGTTGGCCTTGGCTCCGGCTTCCGCACAGGGCAGCTGGCTGCTCCGGTCTTTGGCCGAGGACCGCGGGTAGACCGGCGCGCTCCAGTCTCGGTCGTCTCGTTTTTTCGGAAAAGAAACAGCACAGAAGATGTTTCAGAATGATGGAGATTGAGACCCCTGGTTTGTTTTGGAAAAAAACGATGACGATCGAAGACAATTTTTACCGTGCCTTTCCCGGTGCGACAGAAGGCTAGGCGGTGTCCCTTCGATTGCACCCATGTTGGGATCTCGGGCTGTGTTTGTTTCAAAAGGAGGCACGTATTACGACGCAGCCACTCTTGCAAGGAGTTGATCCAGCATCTCCTGCAGATTCCCGAAACCGTGGGGTCCCTATATAGGTGTCCACAAGCGGAGCTAAGTTTTCCCAGCAGGAGAATGCAGTTGGGATTCAATCTCTGGGGCTGGCAGTGGTGCGCAGTTTTTTCAGCTGTCCTCCAGAGATCGATATAGAACTGCTTACCAGCAGTTTCAAAGGGGTGCTTCCAAAGGAGGGTAGAGGTGCCCATTCTCCATTCACTTGGGGTCTAAATACCACCCCTTTCGATCTGGTGTATATAGTATATCTACGACAACTACTCCACAACTCCTGATCACTTTGGTGGTCAGCTCCGAACGGCACCGCCCACGGAGTCCCTCCAGGGACCGCCCACGGCACCGCCCGGATCACAGGATCAAACGGAGCTCGGCTGGGCAAAGGCTGCGACCTTTCCTGTGGCACAAATGGAGAGACTTGGGAGTGATGGGTGATTGGGTCGTTTGTTTGGTTGACGGTCACGCTTCATGAAACATGCCCAACAGAAATCTGAGTGACGTGAGCCAACAATGGAACTAGCACCAGCTACAACCTCCTAGGAAGGGCTGAGGTTTCGGTTCCCATGGTCCTTTGGGCTGCCTTGAGAGCCCAGGCTTTTGGGCGGCCCATGGTCCTTTGAGTTTTGAGCCATAGGCCGGATAAGGGAACCCAGTGGATGACCACAAATCGAGGGCACCAGGTAACTTGCGTATCCTTGCGTGTTCAGTTGTGGTATTCCGAAGGTTTACTTGTCAAACTGACTTGTACTATTCTTTCCATCCGTGCCATTCAGTGTGCACTGCGCATCCAAGGAAAGCTATGCTTACTTATGGTGGGATTCCATCCAGTGCAGCTGGGCCAAGTACAGCTCGTCAAAAGACCAAACAAATCGTGGAGCTGTGAGAATTCTGCCAAACGGTTGGATTTAGGAGCATTAGATTAGTCTAGTTACTAGTTCAGCATTTATTACTGATATGTAGTTTGGGTGGGTTTTGTACATAGACTTATTGCTTGTGTCATACCAACTCACTGGTGACCGCTCCGTGTGGTGCTGGTTGTTCACGGTCTAAATAGGTAGCAGTTGGCTGCTTATTATGGGCCCCGAGATCATCTGCCAACATTGAATTTGTTATTGCTTTGATGACGTTCCAACAAATGCCCGGCTTAAGTTTTTCATGGGAGTTGGTCTAGAGGGGTGTGCAAGGGGTCTTATATGTTTTAATATTATGATATGTAATGATCCTTTAGATGCTGTCCAAGCCATCCGCGATGAGGTTCGTGAAAAGTTCTTGCGCAAAAAACTTATCGAAGGTATCTTTTGTTCATACCACGAATATCCACTAATACCTTTCTTCCGACATATGGTACAAATACACTGCAGTCCTCCGGCAGAGCCGGTGGGCGGAAGTGTCCTCGCATGTCACCACTGTCACAAAGAACAACCGCAAGTAAAATGGCTTGGGTGAAAAGGCGGCGCAAGAGATCCAGGAGCCACTAGGCCAGGAAGTTGCGCAAAGAACAAAGGATTCTTGGCAGAACTCATTACTTGAGGTGAAGGGTTGTTTTCTATGTGCTCTACTTGGTTGATACTGTTTCAACAAGTGATACTTTTCGTGCTCTTGGAACGCGAGCATTCTCAGGAGACAACACCGCATCTCAGCCATGGTGGACATGCTAAGCACAGCCAATGACTCGAGCAGCTACTCTTCAAGAGTGTAAGAAAAGGCAAGCATCTGCTTCTGTACTGGATTTCATTCCACTGTTTGTCACATACATTACTTGGGTTTGTGAAAGGGGCCTCAAGTCAATGGTTTTACTTGAGATACTTCAGATACTTTGTACTTGAAAAGATTGTACTTGAGGGCTTGAATTTACTTGAGAAAACTTTACTTGAGGGTGTGATTTTACGTGAGAAGACTTTACTTGACTGTACTAATTTTTGAACACTTTACCTGAGGATGTAGTTTGTCTTTAAAAACTTGTACATGAGGAGGTGTTTAAACTTGAACACGTGTCGAAACCTTACTTGGGAGTAGCCTTATATTTGAGAGCTGTCTTCAAAAAGCTGCATAAATCTAGATGAAGTCTTGAAGAACTTCTGATGCACTTTTTAAAAGTGAATTTAAAGTACCGGCGGTGCATCACACATGCATCAAAAGTTCATCACAGATTCAGCGCAATTACTTTACTTCGAGTGATCCCCACCATGACATGGTGAGGAGCATGCTGCCATGGACCGCAAACATGCAGCATGGCCTGGTCTTGCACTTGACAAGCATCTTGAACATACAACGCCCTGATGGTTTCCTTTTCACGGAGTGCTTGGGGAGCATGTTTAGGAGACGCCTTCGTGCTTAGTACTTTGTACGAATGGTCAGCATTTCACTGGGGTGGTCTCGGATCAGCGCATGACCTTGTTGCTCATGGCCGTGCTCCAGCCAGGGGCAGCTGTGAACCCCTTCCTTGGGCAAGCATTGGTGCCCTCACCCTGCTGGGTGGGGGTTGCCTTGGCCTTGTTTTTTTCATGGCACCTGCCAGGAGCAGGAGCAGGGGTAGAAGGGCACCTCCTTCACCAGGTTTGTTTGGCGGGGGTGAATGGATAAGAACCAGGCGCCAGGCCTGCTGAAGCTGAAGCTGGCACACTACATGAACTGAACAGGTCAGCTGCAGCGCCTCCGGGACACCACTTGGATGCTGATTTCATCAGCATGAGTGAATACTGGGTGATCCCCGGCAAGCCCTGATGAAAGAGCTGGCTGTTGATCAACCCCGATCGGCAGTTCGCTCGATGGCAAAGAACCGGTGGGAGAGCTTCGAGGAAGGAAAGAAGAAAGTTTATGATGAGGCGTCCACTCCGGTGCTCCAGGGACAGCCTCTGGCTGGGGGAATGGAAGCACGCTCTCAGAAGATAGAGGCCGATAAAAAGTCAAACATACGCGGTTCGCATTGAAAACGGACAGTTTTTGAACCTGCTTTTTCACTATGTTCCATGAAGGCTCCGTTTACAAGGGGGTTTTCAACACAGGCCTCGATCTGGCGGAGGAGGAGGCGGAGGAAGAAGGAAGGAGAAAGGAAGGGAAGAGCTTTGATAGAATCTAACAACCTTCGCCTGGCAGGTGGTGAAAAAGTGTTCTTTTTATACTCAATGCTAGTGACATGAGCATTCTATAAACGCTTCCTGCCCCCACCACCATTGCTATGTCATCTGGTGAAGTCTGGCCCCAACATTGTGGGCTAGCCAACTAGGCTGTGGGCACGGCAAATGCAAATGAGATGGCATTTGTGCTCATCAAACAGTTTGAATCAAACCTTGCACAACCCATACACCGTGCAGAGTACCGTGCAGAATTTGTATAGCTTAGCGACAGTATTGCAGTTAAAACGGATGATGTGTTCCTTTCATAGGGGTTTTGAATGCTGCCTCCACAGCTCATTTTAGGCTCAAGGGAAAAGAGTTTAAAATGGTGAGGAAGCGGCCCGCTGCAGCATCCCCTGCTGCCACGCGCAGTCGCTGTGCTAGTGAATCCATCCAGGCTGCAGGGACAATTCGGGAGCTATATAGTTTATTGTTTTCTTTTGTGGGCTTAGATGATTCTCTGCCACAGGCTTCTGGGAGTGGAGATGCCCATGGTGGTGCGAAGAACAACAGCTCTGAGGCAAAGCGTCAACGAAGGCTTCCGGAAACCTTCAAAGCGTGGACGCTCAGGGACAGGGTGGGCTAAGATATTCTTGGGGGGCAAATTCTTGTTTATATATATAAGTGCCATGTCATCGCTGCTTCCAGAGGCCTTGTCAGTCCTGAATGCTTCTGCGCCTTCCACCGTCGGTTTCCCAGAAGGTGGTGGTGGGAGTGTCTGACTGTTTGACATGGCCATGTCATGAGTGGTTTGGGCTCTTCAGTGATTTTGCTTGCCCCTTAGACTTGCAAAGATGGATTGTGGTCAAATCTTTGCAGCCATGCTGGGAGCCACGATTGTTGGGCTTTTGTGGTTCCTGAGTGCTTGCCCAAATAGCAAGCAATGGTTGCGAGTGCAAGTTGTAAAGATCATGCTCAAGGGCATGGGTGAAGAGAAACTTTACTTGCGCAAGTTCTTGTCCAGCCCAAGTCCCAAAGCAAAAGATGACTGTGATGCGGATACGTGGTCAGTTGTGTCTGTGGCTTCGGATACCTCTCCATCACCACGTATTCCAGTGCAAAGTCCTCCACTAGAATCTTTCAAAGCAGTCTCGGGATGCAAGCACAAGCATCGCACTTCCCTCGGCAGCAACCAGTTTGGCCGCCAGATTCGCTGCAAAGATTGTGGTAAGCTACTCATCAAGACTTTGAACTCTGCGAAGGCCAAGGAACCTGAAACTGTGGCTTTAGGTTGACACTGGTAGAGGGAAGGCCAAGTTTCCAAGTGCTCCCACAAGTGGAGTGTTCGTAGTGTAGTGTGCAATAAAACATATTTCAGATATTTGCAAGCCCTGCATTCCCATTGGAAGCCATGTCATCCAGCACCAAATGTAAACGTCTCACTGTTTTGCAGTTTTGCCCTCTGAGGATGTGGCTGGACAAACGCATGGTAAAGAGCAGGTGGGATTGGGTTAGGTTTGCATGATTTGCCGGGCTATTGAATTCTTGTGGCCAGCGTGAGGAGGGTTCAAGTTGGATCATATGGATTTCGTGTGTTCTTAGTTCTTTGTGGGTTGCAGTGTGTGCCATGTCATCCTGTGATTAGGAATGTACACTTGTTTTGATTTTGCACGTGTGCTGAGAAACATGCAATGAGAAGACATGCCATTCTTGACTGTAGACAAAGAGTCAGGATCAAGGATAGTTCCCCTGCCCATTTTTCTTCATAGTCTCATCTTTGCCTTCAGATGAAACAGCACGGCCCATGTGAGCAGGCTGTTCGAGGACAAGAAGCGTTGGAATCTGCTGTTGAGAAGCCAGTGCAGGCCTTCTGGTCATATGCCATGTCATCGCTCTGTTCTGGAAAAGAAATGCTGCATGGGTTTGCAGGTGCCCAATGACATTCTTGAGAAATACCAGAAGAAAATGGAGAAAGAAAGGCAACAGGAGAAGTGTATACTGTTATTGTACATTGCAGTGTAACAGGTTCTTGTCACCTTTCTGCAAAGTTGCGCCATCTCCGCAGGAGCTGGTCAGATTGTCAAAGGAGAAAATGAAACAGGAGAAGCATTGTCTCATTTTTGCCCCTAATCTTGGTTGTGTGACATCGCAATATCATGCCATCTTGTCGTTCTGCCATCCAGCTTCTAGAAAGGACAAGAAGCGTCATGAAGATGCAAAGGCACGCAGCATGGTTTTCTGTGTTGGGTGGTGTGGGGCCAGTGCCATGTCATTGTGTGCCATGTCAACGGTTGTTCATTGTAATGTACTGTTGAGAAGACAGTGGAGGGTTTCTGGTAGTAGTCCTTCTGGTCATATGCCATGTCATCGCTTTGTTTTGGAACAGTGTTTGGTAGGTTGCCCCGGAAGAAACAGCTCCCTCATCCTCACTCACTTCTTGCTTCATGAAAACACATAGGTTACAATTTACAGTATGTATATTTTTATATGTGTGTCTTCTTTTTATGTTTGCAGTCGCAGGCGGCGTCAGAGGCAAAGCCGATGGAAGCCCCGTCTGCGCAGATTGCGGGGACCCCAACTTCGGGTTCATGGAGTGTTATTTTTTTGGTGTGGGGCCAGTGCCATATCATTGAGTGCCATGTCATCAGCTGTTCATGTTGGTGATCTTAAGGAGCCGGATGCATTGAAAAGACCAGTTGGAGATGTTGCAGAAGAGGCTTGCCTGGCCATTCTTTCAGTTCAAACCAGAGTTTTGAAGAAACTTTTTTGTTTT